CCCTCGACCCCGGACTCCGACCCTCGATCCTCGACCCTCCACGACGAAGACGACGACGACGACGACGACGACGACGACGACGACGACGACGACGACGACGGTCAGACCCCAGCGGAGGGGCTTCCAGCCGATCGCCTGGAATAGACAAGCGCGTTCCACTACTCGCAAAGTAGCTACTCGCAAATGGCCTGGATCTAATCCAAGGGATTTGCGATATTCTGCACGAAGGCAGACGCATGGTTTTTTCTGACATTTGCGAGTAGGCACTTTGCCAATAGCGGAACGCGCTCGGCGATGGAAGGGCACCGCGGCCGCTCGGCGGGAGGCCGCTGGCCCGATGCCCGGCCCGCTGCCGCGAGTGGCGCTGCTGGCGATCGGCGCGGCCGCCGGCCGATCGGCCGACGTCGGCGCCTCGGCCGCTCGGCGGGCGGCCGCTGGCCGCTCGGCGGCGGAGTCGCGTCCGCCGGCGCGCGCGGGGGTAGGGGAACAAACAATGACATACACATAAAAACTTCTCCTCCTCCTCCTCCTCGTCCTCCTCCTCCTCCTCCTCCTCCGCCTCCTCCTCCTCCTCCTCCTCCTCCTCCTCAGTCCCCCTCAGGAGCCAGTCTCCCTCATAAGGGGACACACAATGACACAAAAACAAAAACTCGGAGGTTCCGCGCGGATTTCTCGGATCGGCGCTGGACACCTTCCCTGGCGCGCGGAGCGCGCCAGAGGGTGCGCCAGAGGCGCCGCCAAGGGGGGTCCAGCGACGATCCGAGAAATCCGCGCGGACCTCCGAGTGTTAATGTTTATGTCATTGTTTGTTCCCCCAGGGCGGGCGGCGGCCGAGACAGGCACAAGGCGCTCCGCGCCGCAAAGGGGGGCGCACACCTCCTGAGGGGGGTGTCGCCGCCGCCGTCGCCGTCGCCGTCGCCGACGCCGCCGTGGTCGCCGCCGTCGCCGCCCTCGCGGCCCTCGCCGTCGCCGACGTCACCTTTACAGTCGCCGTCGCCACTGCCGTCGCCGCCGCCAACGCCATCGCCACCAGCGCCGCCACCATCGCTGTCGTCGTCGTCGCCGCCGCAGGCGTCGTCGTCGCCTTCGCTGGCGCCGTCGTCGCCGCCGACCCAACTTCGGGCATGGAGGAGTGAAAGCAGCTGCGCATGGAATGCACAGGCTGGAGGCTGAGGGCATGAAGCTGGTAGGCTGCTGCGCCCCAGCGGTGGGCGGGCACCCCTCGGCGGGGGCCCGCCATACCTGGAGGGTCCTTGAAAACATCCAGAAAACCAGAAGCCAGCGGCGCGCCGAGGGGGGAAGTAAGAAGGGGCAGGCCAATTCGGAAGGCAGGGGGGCCCCTGAAAGCCCCCCCGGCTTTCTGAGAATCCGTCTGTGTTTTCGGTCTTCGGAGACGACTTAAGCCTTCTGAAACAGCCCGCCCCTCTGCGCCCCGTCCCGATGCGTATCACTGGGGAGGGGAGGGCGAGGAAGAATGAGAGAAGGATGGAGAGATGAAGAAGAAAGAGGGCAAGATGGGGAACGAGGAGGGAGCTAAGAGCGGGAGGGAGGGGGGGAGACGGAGGATTAGCGGGAGCGGGAGACGCAAGATGAGGGAGGAGGGGGAGCGAGGGAAAGCGAGGTGGGCGTGGGGGAGAGCGTTGGGGTCAGGAGGAAAGAGATAGGAGGATGAGACAGAGAAGTAGAGGGCAGGGGACCGGGGGGGGTGATAGCATGATAATGCGTAGGAAAAGCGTGAGGAAGGAGGTTCCTCCTCCTCCTCCTCCTCCTCCTCCTCCTCCTCCTCATATCACCTCTCATTATCTGCCTCGTCCACCTTCCTCATTCCGCATTCCACATCTTCCACCTCATCCTTCCTCTTTTCCTCATGTCCCTCGTCCTGCTCCTCCTCATGCTTTGACGTCGCCTATTCAAGCTCCTCCTGACCCCCTCTCCTCCTCCTCCTCCTCCTCCTCCTCCTCCTCCTCCTCCTCCTCCTCCTCGTCTTCCTCCTCATCCTCCTCCTCATCCTCCTCCTCATCCTCCTCCTCATCCTCCTCCTTCTCCTTCTTCTTCTTCTTCTCCATCATCTCCTCCTCCTCCTCCTCCTCCTCCTGCTCCTCCTCCTCCTCCTCCTCCCCCCTCTTGGGCACCAGGCCTTGACGAACGTGCGGTAGAGGCGCATGAACTCCTGCCAGGTATCCGAGGCCTCCAGCCTTCAAGAATGAGAAGAGTGAGCGGATAAAGCGGAGATTTACGGCGGGGAATGAAAAGAGAGAGCGAGGAGTAGGACGGGGACTGCGCATAGGAGGACAAGGAAGAGGAGGAGGAGGAGGAGGAGGAGGAGGACGGGGAGGAGGAGGACCATCGCACGGCTTCGGAGAGGGTCCGACTTCGCTCGAGGCAATTCGAACGCGTCAGCCTGGGCTGTCTGGCTGGCAACCTGGGCCATCGAAATCGGGGGCTTGAAGACCACGGGGCTCTGCATAGAGGCCTTGGGGTGGAATCAAAACGCTTCGGGCAACTCGTGTGGAGGCCCAAAGCGCATTCGGAATACTTGCCACATTGGGAGCATGCAACAACGACGTTCTCGTCATCTGAACGGTCGAAAACACGGATCTGGTGGGCGTTGGGCAGCAGCGCTAGCTTGGCCAAGGCCGCCACCTTGCCTGGACACCGCGCCTTGACGCGATCCTGCTTATTGTTCTCATCCGGGCATCGCGAGTGGCACAGGCAGCGAAACCCATTCTACTTCTTCGTTTGCCAAGACCAGCCATGCCCGACACGGGCGCGCACCAACCGAGACGGACGGGACGGGGGAAAGGGGCCGCGGCGGCCCCAGGGCCCGAACCACCACCCCTCGAGCGACAGCCATCGGCCTGACCTAAGGAACGATACATCAGGAGCGGAGCCCCCTTCTTCAGAGGAGTCATGCAAAAAGGAACGATGAATAATACAGAACGCGCACGGAACGGTAACTAACGCATGCAAGCCTAACAAAAACGACCGGATCCCTTTTGAAGAGGAAGTGCTCCGTCTGCAAGCCGCCCACTGTACCTCCACCTAGCTACACTTCTGCAGTAGACCTCGCACCCACGGCAGGGCTGACTGCCTGAGTTTGGGCGCGCAGCCCCTTTCCCGCCAACCCTCGGGGCACTTGCGGGCCACAGAACAACCAACGGCGGGCCACAGAGCTGGGGCCTTCGGCGCGTACCGAAGAAAACGCTTCATTACGTGAGCGCTTGTTTCAGCGTTTCGACCCCGGGTCTCTGCTTACTGCAACTGTTTGCAAGAGTGCTGCCTTTGGGCGGGAATCCACCCGCTCGAAACAGGCGCCCAAAAGCAATCGAGATCTACTCCACAGGGGAGCGGGGGGCGAAGGACCGCGCCGATCGGCATTATATATATATATATATATATATATATTATCACATTAGTATATACAAACGATCACTGTCCTATCGAACTGTCTCTGGTTGCCTCGCCCGGCCTCCGGGGGCTGGGGCAGGCGAGAAGCTGCAAGTTTGGCACTTCTGCAGGCCGCATCGATGCCAGAGGCGCGTCTCCACCGCGCAGGGAAACGCTCGCGAGAGCATTCTTCCTGGCGCGCTCTGACCTTGACAACGTCAAACCCACCATCTCGGAAGGCTTCACCTAGCTCGGCCATCGCGCATAGGCCATCCGACATGTGTTTCCTACTGGCTGGCTTATAAGGGCTGCGCCAGGCGACCGCGCCAACGAAATCATAATGGACCCTCGTCATTTCTCAAAATTGATTGGCAACTAGGTACGCTAGGAATTCAGTGGCAGGCGAGGTTGGCAGGATGGCTCTGCCGACTGGGCCACAGAGCTACACAGCCACCTAGCCATGAAAATCGCACTGGTCAAATGCCCAGCCATGGGCATGGAACCCTTGGTGGTCGTCTTTGGCCCCACTTGCATCAACGTAAACCTCGCCAGCAAAGCTTCGGCAGGCGGGCGGCCATCCCGAGGCCAAAACACCGCCACCACCAAACCTACGCCAGGCGGCCCCGGGGCCCTAAACGGCGGAGGCTCAGGACAACCAGCGCAGGCAGCAGAAGCCTGGAACTCCTTCAGGGCTTCAACATCCATCTCCCCCCTCTTGAACCCAGGAATTCCCCCCGAGGTGCAGCGCTCCCGGGGCGCCCCGGGAGCCCTTTGGCCGACCTGGCCCGCGGGGGCTCCGCGCGCGCAGATCGCGCCCGCGCCGCATCCGCCATCGCCCGCCGACCTGCGCCGGGTGATGATGGGCTGGGCCAGGCTCGAAACTCAGAGGCGGCGATCATTCTCCGCCACTTTCCTGCCCGCTAGCGCAGCGCGAGAGAGATCAACTGTTGCAGCGCACCTCTCGACGGCGGCTCGGTCGGCAAGTTGCCCCCGCCACGCTGCAGCAAGCAATCTGGGACGGGGGGCAGGCGAGGCGGTTGTGACGGGTTGCCCCCCCTATCACTCCTGGCGAATATCATCGGGCTGGTCCACGCCCGGCCGACTCTGGGAACGCGTAACTACATTGCTCAAAGAGGACCTCTGATGCGGCCCCATCCTAGAGGGGATTGTTCAAGGATGCCAGCTGAAAGATGTCTATGCAATGGGAGCCTGAATGCACGTGTCCGAGGCCCCCGGGCAGCTCGGAAGACGATCGGACTCGAAGAAATACACAGTCCCAGAGCCGATATCCAAGTGGGTTCGTCGAGACCAGTAAGTGAAAGAGCTCCCGAACGGGTGGCGCACTTGGGCCCCGCGACCCTCGGGAACAGATTCTGCGCCCCCTCAAACTCCCGGGCATTTGAACCAATGTCTGAGTTCCAAGATATCCAGCATGCTGGAGACCGGCGCGCTAGAATTATCGGCGTCTGCTCCGGCGGATCGCACTGCCCTCAATCGACGAAGACGCATGCGCAACTTGATTGCGCGCCGTCGGAGATCCTTCGTGCGTTTACCTCTTAGGCTAGGACCTGCAGCGAGGTCAACTCCGAAGTTGGCGGCCGCGAGCTCGACCAGGCCGGCCTGGAAACCCGCCCACTTCCCCGACTTGGCGGGCATATCTGCCACGATCACTGGCGTGGGCGCCACAGCGGGGCACCCTTGCGCATGGCGATGTCGCACTTCAGATCGACGGCGATCGACAGACGCATGCTAGCTGAGGCCGTGGCAAGATCAGCCATCAATGCAGTCGGTATGCTTTTGTGCCTGGCCAATTTGGAATCATTGATGGAGATGGCCGGCTGCGCCCCGGGACCCCAGGCAACCCAGATGCCGATGGGCGGCAAGCAATGCTGCTGAACAGCAGGCGCGGCAGCCCAGCAACCTGCTGCGACACCTGTTCGATGGCAACCTGCAGACAAGGCCGGGGCGCGGGCGGCAACGGTTCTCGGCGCCTGGCATTGTTTACAAACGACGGCCACGAGCAAGTCCGAACGATCAATCTCCTGAGCGCTACCCCATCCAGAGCTGACGATCGATGCATGTGGCGCACAAATATACGGGGATGACCTCGTTACCGAGCCCTGAACTCCAGCTGCCGGTGCTTGCCCCAGACTCCCCAGAGACCAGACATGATACCTATGCCCCTGTAGCTCGGGCCCGGGTAGGGAGCTGGCTTGCGCTTCCCGACGAGGACCGCGACGATGGCGCGGAATCGGGTCAAGAAACTACAAACTTGTCTGGCGGCTCTGCGGGGCCCGAACACGAGATCCAGATGGCCACCTTCCAGGGGGCTGAAGTGCCGAGGGTGGACCCTGGAGCCCGTCCAGGGCATAGCTGTAACGCTACTGAAGCTTCGGCTGGCTGATCGAAGCTGACCAGGCGAAATGTCAGCGAGGTCTTCACCTCGCGGCCGCGCTTTCCGAAGGCAGGATCTGCAAATCCTAAGCAACCTCAGCGCTGCTGCTCGGCCTCCGACATGTCTAGCGGGCGGCCTGACCAAGGGGCTATCGCGGGGCTCCAGACACGATGCGGTTGCCACGAAGTAAGACGACTGCTCCACCGCTGGCCCCATCCGGCTCCGTTTCCCTTTGCTCCCTTGACCCGGAGCTTCCAAGACTGTCGATCGTCGGGCCTGCCTTTCGCGATCTCACGGTCGAGAGCCTTGGCGATGTCCGAGTCTGGGTTGGCGATGATCTCAAGAACTGGCGCCACGTTAGTGGCATGCAAGAGGGTAGCCTGAACTGGTGCGCAAAGCTTCATATTCAACAGCAACTTGCGAATGGCCTGGTGGATCGGCGAGGTCGACGTGGGCCTGCTGAGGCTCCTCCAAGCCGTGCTCCTTCACCCCTCGTCGTACCTGGGTGACTTCATCACGTAGCCATCCGAGATCTGCTGGTGCATTCCTCCAAACCCTCCCGCCCTTGGCCTCAAAAAGCCTGGCTGGAACCCACCTGATTGTCAGGGCCTGGGTGCGTCGCGTCAAACCCTGCAAGGGTGCGTCGATAATAATGCAGAGAGGCGCGGGCACGTCGTCCACAAGATAGCCGCGCGAGGCATTCACGGCGGCAACAAAGGCTTATGTAAAGAATGGCTGCGAAAAGGGCCTAGGTTTGGTGGCATCTCCCAGCGCGGCGCATTTGATACCGATCCCCCAGGAAGGATTCCAGCAACTCCAGAGCCCCCGAGCTCCAAGACCACGGAGATCGTCTGTATCTTGGGCCCACTGGGGGCTGGACAGGAAGATGTTGAGTTTTTTCCTGAACAGGGATAAGATGCGGGGCCCCAATCACCATGTCCATCAGAACTGGCCCATGTGGGATACTCGGGTAGTTCACCAAAACTGCGGGCTGCTTCAGGTAGTGAACGAATCAGTGCGAGCCCAGGAAGTAGGCGATGGTTTACCTAGGCTTATTCGAATAGAGTGGGTGCGTTTTGTCGTGATCACCTGGATCCCAGCCCTGGTCGGGAACTCCGTTCCGAGCACTTCGATAGGACACGCGTTAAAATCGCCTGCCATGACCAGCGGCAGGGCATTGTCGGAGGCAACGTGCACTACGGTGGAAATGGCCGCCAGGTTCTCATGAGTCAAGTCTGCAGACTCGGCCAGGCATCTAGAGCCCAGGCTGAAGGAGTGATGTCGGAACTTTTCGGTTCTGAACACCAGCCCGAGACTTTGGATGACCTTCTGGAAGAAGCAACGTGGTAATCCCAAAATGTAGGCCACTGCGTACAAGTACTCCAATACTCTGGCATGGAAAACCCTCGGCGCTCGAAACAGCTGGAACAAAATTGCTGACCACACCCTGCGAGAACACGATGATGTCTCTTTGGCCAAATCGTGATCTGAGAGTCGCGCTTCTTGGCAGCAAGCGACCTGGACGGGCTTGGCCTTGGGAGAAACCAAGGACTTGCGAATGCCAGACAAACTGCGACCATTGAAAGTGCACGTCGTGAGTGTGTTACCCGCGCTGCGTTTTACCGAATGTTGCCAGTGCGCCAGCAGCACCGCCGAATTTTTTGAGCCCTGGCCTGGCGCTTGGAGGGCCTCTCCTGCGCCGTGGTGGCTTCGGCGCTGAGGCCCCGGATGCCGAATTGGCCGGCGAGAACCAGGTCCTCCATCGTGGCGTGGGCCTTCCTGACGGTGCAGCGGTCGGTGTCCACGGGCATGTCCAGGCTCTCGCCTGGCTGGTCGCCAGGCACTGCAACTGCATCAGCATCGCCTCCGGCTGGGCCTGCTGCGGGCCCCCTCAGGCACCACGGGTGCAGCGCCAGCTGTGGGGGCAGGCTGCTGCTAGAGCTGCTCCTGCAGCTGCTGCCACTCCCCGTTGAGCTTCGACGCTGAGGCGGAGGAGGAAGAGGGCGCGCCGACCACATGCCGCCCGTGCAACCCCGGACGAGAGCAGGCCGTCGGGGATTGCAGAAGCACCAGCATTGGTGCCGACAGAATGCACTCACAAGATCCGCGATTTGCGGCACAGGACCCTCCAGGGGTGTGGCCTGTCTTGGGACGAGGCCCAACAATTTCAACTCCCCCGGGCACGGCGACGGCTGGGTGGAAGATCGCGAGGGCCGAGGCAGGAGGCTCGACAGGTTCGCCCCACCCTGACGGCCGCGATAGTATCGCACACCAAATGCATGCACCCATGACAGTAACATCCCGCCTGGCACGTGACGCGCCTGGGCGTCTCCTTGAGGTCCCCCAGAAGAGGAGGAGGAGAAGGAGGAGGAGGAGGAGGAGGACCAGCGCAAACCCAAGAGTCATCGACGATGTTGGGATCTACCCTCCCTCCAGGCTCCCTCTTCGCCCCTAAAACGGTTCATTTCCACTGAGGGAACTGCCTTGTTGGAAGACAACTGATTGAAGACTCTGAAGCGTTGTTCTCGCGACTCCAACGCCACGGATCAACCTGACTGATGCGTCTTGACGACCCTGAAAAGCGTGCCAGAAGGCCGTTCCTGAGACTTCAGCACTGCGAATGAATCTAGCTGTTGCACCCTCAAAATCTTGAGTCCTTCCAAAGACCCATGTCTGGAACGCTGATCATGGGAATCCGTGAAACTCTTCCAAATGTTGAAAACGAATGCGCGCTGCGCTGAAGCGAGAGCCACATGTTGAAAAGAAACGCCCCACAGGCATCGAAAATCTTGCACATGCTTAGAAATAATGTCCGCGGCGCTGAAGCGAGAATCACATTTGAAAGGGAACCATCCTCAATCCGTGAAGCTCTTGCAAATGTTGAAGACGCATGTGCGCGACGCGAAGGCGAGAGCCACATTTGAAAGGGAACCGCCATCAATCCGTGAATCTCTAGCGAATGTTAAAACGCATGTGCGCGGCGCTATGGCGAGAGCCATATGTTGAAAACGACACGCCCTCCATCCGTGAAACTGTTGTCAGTTTTTAGCTTCAGGGTCAAAACAGTGAGGATGTTTCAGGCGAAACGCCCGCCCCGCCCGGCACGCCTGGCCGCGGGGTGCGACAGAGAGAAGATATTTATAAGGAAATGGAATGGAGGAGGAGGAGGAGGAGGAGGAGGAGGAGGAGGAGGAGGAGGAGGAGGAGGAGGAGGAGGAGGAGGAGGAGGGGGGAGAGAGGAGGAGTAGGAGGAGGAGGAGGGGGAGGAGGAGGAGCAGCAGGAGGAGGGCGAAGATGAAGGGGAGGAGGAGGAGGAGGAGGAGGCGGAGCCCACCCCCCTTGACAGCCTCAGAGTCTCCCTGCTCCCGTAGTCCCGCCACTCGCTGGGCACGCTGAAGCCGCCCAGAGTGTAGGCCTTCGCCGCCGCTGCCGCTGGCGCCGCCGCCTCAACCCATGGCCGCAAGGTTTTGCCCGCGACCTCGGAGGCCTAGAGGTCGGCACCAACACCGACATCGGCTTCCATCGAGAGAAGATGATCCCGATTTGGCGGCGCGCACCGGTGGGCAGGGGGAGTGGGGAAGGCTTCTGAGAAGGAGGCTGATTTCCAGAAGGCGCCGGCGCTACATCTGCGTACAGCTACGGGCCACGCCTTCTGAGAAGCAGGGGTGCTTGTGAAAGGCCTCCTCCCTCCCCCCTCTGTGCGTGGTTGACCGATCTCGGCGATGGTGGAAATATGTTGGGCTTCCTGGGCAGCCGACATGCAACCAACAACACCAAAATCTGGCATAATTTCCCTGGTAGAGGTCGCCCCCCTGTGCTGGTGTTGGTGCCTTTTTCGACGCCTCTAAGCGACCCCCGAGTTTTGCTTATGGCGCAGGCACTCCGCCACAACAGCTCACCTGAATGAGCCAGCCGCCACAACCGATGAACCTCACAAATCCGTAACCAAATGCCGTCGTCGCGGAAGTGCCTGGGCGTCTCGTCGCACCACGGAAGAGGAGCGAGTTGAGCGACGATCTGAAATGGGTCTTACGCGAGGTGGCACAGCGACCTTACGTGGCGGCTAACGCGGGCCGCCAGCGCGGCACGCCACGCTGGAGACGAGGGCGCTCACGCGCGACCTCACGCGGGCAGACCACGCGCCAACGTCGGCGCAGACGACCCCGTTTTTGCTGGCGCCGCTCTGGTGGAGGAGGGCCTAGGGTTAGGTCGGGCATGTCCTCCTACAAGCGGGATTTGACAGAGAAACAACAAATGGTCAGAACAGATGGTCTTTACTTAAAAAAGACCTCCCTCCTCCCTCCTGCCTCCACCCTCCTCCCTTCTCCCTCCTCCTTCCTCCCTCCTCCCTCCTCCCTCTTCCCTCCTCCCTCTTCCCTCCTCCCTGCTCCCTCCTTTCTACTACCTCCGCCCTCATCCCTCATCTGTCCTCCCTCCTCCCTCCCGCCTCCTCCCTCCTCCCTTCTCCATGCTCCCTACTCCCTACTCCCTACTCCTTCCTCCCTCATTCATCCTCCCTGCTCCCTCCTCTTCCCCCCTCCTCCCTCCTCCCACCTGCCTCCTCCTCCTCCCTCCTCCCTACCCCCTCCTCGTTCCTCCCTCCTTTCTCCTCCCCCCGCCATCATCCCTCCTCGGTCCTCCCTGGTCCCTCCTCCCTCCCGCCTCCTCCCTCCTCCCTCCTTCGTCCTCCATCCTCCCTCCTCCTTCCTCCCTCCTTCTCCTCCTCCCTCCTCCTTCTCCCCCTCCCTCCTCCCTCCCCCTCTCCTCTCCCTCTTCCGTCTCCTCCTTCTCCTCCTTCCCCTCCGTCTCCTCTTTCTCCTCCGTCTTCTCCTTCTCCTCCTTCTCCGTCTTCTCCCCTCCTCCCTCTCCACCTCCTCCTCCCCCCCTCCTCCTCCCCCTCCTAGTCAAGCTTCTCCTCCTCCTCCACCTCCGCCTCTTCCTCATCCTCCTCCTCTTCCTCCTCCTTCTCCTTCCTCCTGTTCCTCCTCCTCATCCAACTCCTCCTCATCCTTCTCCTCCTCCTCCTCCTCCTCCTCCTCCTATGTGTGCTTCTCGTGCTTCTCCTTCTTCTCCTCCTTCTTCTCCTGTTTCCACCTCCTCCTGCTCTTCCTCCTCCTCCTCCGACTCCCCCTCCTCATCCCCCATCCTCCTGCTCCTCCTCCTCCTCCTCCTCCTCCTCCTCCTCCTTGTCCTCCTCCTCCTCCTCCTCCTCCTCCTCCTCGTCCTCATATTCCTCCTCTTCGTCTCCTTCTTCTGCGTCTTCCTCTTCCTCCTTATCCTCCTCCTCCTCTCCCTCCTCGTCTTCATCATCAACATCTTCCGCAGCAGCAGGGACAGCATCAGTGTCATCAGCAACATCACCACCATCATCACCACCACCATAATAAACCTCAACATCGTCATCATCAGCAGCACCACCAGCAACAGTAGCAGCAGCATCATGATCAATGCCCTCATGATCATCAGCATCAGCGTCATCATCGTCGTCGGCAACATAATCCTCCTCATCCTCAACCGCAACATCAACAGCCATATCATCATAATCATAACCGGCATCGGCATCCGCATCACCATCGCAACCCTCAACATCATCATCATAATCCTGAACAACGTAAGCAGCATCAGCAGTAGCATGATCATACGCAACATCGGCATCATCTCAATCAGTATCAGTATACTCCTCCTCCTCAGCAGTATCATCATCCGCATCAACATCAGAATCACCATCGTCATCATCATCATCAGCAGCAACAACATCCCCAACAACCCTTGCAGCATCAACATCATCACCATCAGCATCATCATCAGCAGCAGCATCGTCAGCATCATCGTCATCATCATCCTCATCGAAATCCTCATCCTAATGCTCATCCTCCTCCTCATCCTCCTCCTCCTCCTCCTCCCTCTATTCACTCCTCCCTCTTCCTCCGTGTCCTCCTCCCTCCTCCTTCAACTCCTCCTCCTCCTCCGCTCCTCCTCCGATTCCTCCGCCTCCTCCTCCTCCTCTTCCTCCTGCTCCTTCTCCTGCTCCTCCCGCCTCCCTCTTCCTCCGCCCTCCTCCCTCCTTCCTCCTCCCTCCTCCCTCCTTCCTCCTCCCTCCTCCTCCCTCCTCCCTCCTCCCTCTTCCTCCTCCTCCCTCCCTCCTGCCTCCCTCCTCATCCCTGCTCCTCCTCCTGCTGTTTCTGATGCTGCTGTTGCTGCTGGTCCTCGTCCTCCTCCTCCTCCTTCTCCTCCTCCTCCTCCTGCTACTACTACTCCTCCTTCTCCTCCTCCTCCTTTTCCTCCTCCTCCTTCCGTTCCTCCGTCTCCCCGCCTCCTCCTTCTCCTCCTCCGCCCCGCCCCCTCCTCCTCCTCCTCCCTTCTCCCTCCTCCCTCCTCCTCCTCCTCCCCCCTTCTCCAACTCCCAACTCCCTCCTCCCGCCTGCCTCCTGCCTCCTCCCTCCTCCCTTCTCCCTCCTGCTGCTCATTCTCCTCCTCCTCCTCCTTCCTCCTCCTCCTCCTCCTCATCCTCCCCATCCTCCTCATCATGATCATCCTGTTCCTCCTTCTCCTCCTCCTCCTCCTCCTTCCCCTCCTCCTCCTCCTCATCATCATCATCATCATCATCGCAAGGCGCCCAGGGAGACACACAAACAAATGCACAAAGCCCAGGATTTCCGTCCCAATAGTGACAAAATGTTCTGGATTCACGTGCTCCCCTCCATGTCCCATGTTTTCCCATATTGGCGTGGGCACTAGCTTTTATGTATGTCTGTGGCTACTTGCCCCTCCTACACATGATATTCCTTCTGCCCGCTCTCCTCCTTCTCCTCCCCCTGCTCTTAGCCGCCCCGATGCGCAACGCGCAGCCCGTAGCGTGTTGACACGGAGCTCAACACGTAGACTGAAGAAGTAGGTCTGGCGCGATGCTAGAGGCCTCCAGGATGGGGTCCGAGTAGATGGGGTCGAAGGATCGCGCTGCATCGCCAATGCATCGCCGATGTATGGGCGATGCATCGGCGACGTCGGCGTGGAGAAGCACGGGCTCCACATCGAGCCGCATCGGCGATGCATCGGCGATGCGGCGCGACCCTCCGGCTGCATCTACTCCGACCTCATCTAGGAGGCCTAGAGATACAGTCGGGGCGCTGAACAAGGAACCCTTTTCGTTGGGGAGGGGCTCCGCGTTCCTTAATTGTTTCGCAGCTTGCCTTAATCAGCTTGTCCGTAGGTTTTCGATGGGGGATCGAAGTTCAACCAATGGAAAAAAGGGGCCTCGCTCCTCATTTAGGGTTCCCTAGGTCAACGCCCCGACTGCACGTCCGCCAAATCGTGGGCCACCACGTTGAGCCAACACGCAGCGTGCTCGCGCGGGCGTCTTGGGGCACGGCACGCGCAGCGTGCCGACGAAGCCGGGACGGGCGCTTCGGGGCAGCTCTACGCTCCGGCCCGCCCTCCTCCCGCGGGGCGGCCTTGCCCAGCCCCGGGAAGAGGGGCTTCCCCGTCAGCGGCCGCCTGTGCATCTGCGACAGCTCCTCGGGCTCGGCGCCCCCACCCCGCGTGCGGGAGCAGGGGCAGGTCGACAAGGGCACCAGCTGGCCCAGACCCCCGACGTCATGCTTGTTTCATGCCGTCGACCCCCAGGAGGTCTCAACGCATTCCCCGGGGCCGAACCTTCGTCCCGAATCACTTTTCCACGGTCACGAGGCCCAGTGAGGGCCCCCGGAGGCCGAAGATTGCGCAAAACCTCCCGTCGTGATTTTTTCATGACTCGAGGGTTTCTGGGGAGGGAGGAGCAGACGTGGCCGGTGGCCGCCGGTGCCTGCCCGGCGGCTGGCGCCGACGGCCCGCTTGGCAGCTCGAGGGAGCCTCCGCGGGAGGGCGAGGCAGCATGCCCGGCCATAGGTTGCGGCAGATGTGAAGTCCCAAGACGTGCGATCGATGGGCCTCGGCTCGCGAGGACGACATGTCGTGGTCGGAGTCGCGTCCGAGACCAAGGGCGTGGGAGGCGGCATGCAAGTAAGGACGAGGGGGGGAGGCTTCTGCTCACAGGTCCCTGCCAGCATGCCTTGTCACTGCAGGAGGCGCTCCTTCAAAACAAATCAGGCCTCCCATGAACAGGCCGACCAGGCGAGAATCCGTTCTGAAAAGGAGCTCCCCTGCATAACTCTTGCTGTAGTGCATGCGAAGAGGTGAGTCGGATCAACGGGAACCCCCTTCTGAAAAGAAGCCGCACTTCATGCGTGCAACTGGTTCGCAATGTACACTGCTGGAGACATGTTTTGAAGACGTCTCGAATCATATTCCCAATTTGAAAAGGACACGGCGTCGCACCGTGTAATTGTTGCGCGACGCAGTGTGAAAGCCACTCGCCGTCCATTCTCGTAAGTGTTGCAAGGTGTTGCAACCAGCGCGCGCAAGTGCTGCAATGCGTTGCAACCAGCGCGTGCGGCACAAAGGCGAGAAACACTTCGTCATGCCTTCGTCTTGATAGCTGTTGGAATCATCAAGCTGCCTGGTCAGGCACTGTGAGGATGTATCAGGCGAAACGCCCGGCCCGACTTAATTACAGACCTGGCTGGTGGCGCCACGGGAGTGAATTTGTCAAGAAGCTTGAACTGGAATGGAAGATACAGGATACTGGTGCTTGTCATGTAGAGGCCTCTGTAGAAGAACCACACGCGGCATAGACATGATTCCTCGTAGGTCTGCGCGGAGTTTCTGGATCGGCGCTGGACCCCCCTCACTGGCGCGCTGAGCGCACCAGACCCACGGGCGGGGACCAGGCGAAGCCTGTGCATACCCCCCCTTCGGTGGCAACTCATGGGGAACTCTCATACCATCTTGCCGTCTCCTGCGCATCGACACTAGTCGACGCTAGATCGACGCTAATCGGCGCTAGTCGAAGCTACATCGACGTTAACCGACGCTAAATCGGCGCCATCTCATCGACCCCCAGACGCTAATCGACGCTAGTCGACGCTAAAAACATACTTGCGACGGGCACACAAGGCTCCGATGACTTGCTACCGACATCCCCTCCCGCCGCGCGGGGCGCCAACGATGACTACCTACCATACCACCCCAACCCAACCCGAAGACCCGAATTTCGGGGGGGGGGGGGGTACGGGTTCCATATCTGTTTTTCAATGTTCCTGGACCCCCCCCACTGGAAATGAGTGCGGGTTGAAGACTTCGGCGTGGGGTGGTTTGGTTAGGCGGCGCGCCGAGGGGGGAAGGGAGAAGGGGCGGGCCTCCTCAGGAGGCTCAGAAGTCCCCCATACTTCTCAGAAGTTTTCTGAGCCTTCCCCGAGGACACAAAAAACCTCTCAGAAGGCGCGAGGGCCTACGAGAAGTCCCGTCGCCTTCTGAGAGGGCCTTCCCCTTCTCGCTTCCCCCCAGGCGCGCCGCCGAATGATGTTCTTGGGGCAGAACTCGGGTCTCTGGCGCCCGTTCGGGGCGACCCCCGCAACCCCGGAACGCTCTCGGCGAGGCGCAGCCGCTGAAAGGCACCCCGAGGCTGGAAAACCGCCCAGGACCGACGCAAACCTCCGAAAACCTCCGAAAACCTCCGAAAACCTCGAACCCGAAACTTCCCCCCCTCGCTCGCCGCCGACTGGTGGGCGGTGACCCCTCCTCCGCGCGGGACGCCCACGGGGCGCCCACGGGCGGGGGCGCCAGGCGGGACGTCGGCAGACCCCCCGAAGCGCGGGGCGCCCACGAGGAGGAGGAGGAGGAGGAGGAGGAGGAGGAGGAGGAGGAGGAGGAGGAGGAGGAGGAGGAGGAGGAGGAGGAGGAGGAGGAGGAGGGAGGAGGAGGAGGAGGAGGGAGGAGGAGGAGGAGGAGGAGGAGGAGGAGGAGGAGGAGGAGGAGGAGGAGGAGGAGGAGGAGGAAGGAGGAGGAGGAGGAGGAGGGAGGAGGAGGAGGAAGGAGGGAGGAGGAGGAGGAGGAGGGAGGAGGAGGAGGGAGGAGGAGGGAGGGAGGAGCCCACGAGGCGCCCACGGGCGGGGGCACCCGGCGAAACGTCGGCGGGCCCCCCCGGGGGCGCGGGGCGCCCACGGGGGCGCCAGCGGGCGGACACGGGCCGCCAGAAGCGCGGAGCACGCCGCGCCTGCGCGCCCAGCACGGCAGGTGGAACTGCAGCCCGCTTCCTAGGCGGGCAACCACCTACAAGGCGGTTGCTCATACATTAGGGGGAACACAAACCTACCTCGCTTTTGACCACCCTCGCTTCCAAGAGATACCAAACGATGCCAAATTGCAGCCTGTACCGGTCAGGCCGCTTGACGAGGAGGCGCGTGGTATGGCTTGGTTTTGCCTGGAAGCGAAAGCGGGGTAGGTAATTCACGCTCTGATACGTAGGATGTTGAGAAACATTGGATCTTAATACATGATCCATCTACGAATGAATGTATGCATGAACTCATCGTGGTTTGTGATGCTGAATCCCTGCATCTGTAATACATGATCCGCGCGCGGACCATGTATTAAAAACGGCACTGCAGCCCCGTTTCCTAGGCGGGCAACCACCTACATATGGTTTCGTAGTTGCGCGTGTTCTGCAAGAAAGGTGCAGACCGGACCAAGGGCACAGTTCCCGCAACTACCAGCTACTTGGCACGGGGAGGGAGAAACATATCGCCATCACACATGAGCGCCCAAGCACCTCTCAGAAGTGAGTTCCCAGATCTGCTTCGACATGATTAGTTGGGCTTGAAAAGTTGAAACGAGTGGTGAAACCTGGTCATGTTGCCCATGCCGTCATACCGCCATGTCAGGGACCAAGGTCCCAATAAGCGGAAGTCTCGCTGATAGTCAAACAGATCCAATGCCTGCTCACCGGATATACCAGGAAGGGGCGATGACATCTGACACCGTCAATCGCCTCTGCGTTTGCTGGGCACGTCTAACAGAAACCCGTATTTCAGTGGATCTGGTACATGCTGGATCTGTTGAAGGAACAGACCCATGTCGGCGCCCTTGTTTTTTTTTCCCGGAAGTGTGGTTCACTACCAATCGCACCTGGTACAAGCCTCCCCTGTTCCACTTACGCATTCGCAGATGGGCACCTTCAGCGAATCTGGAATTGCCTGCAGTCGTTCCGATGTGCACATCCACGCTCCGAGACAACCGAATCCCTCGCTGTGAGATGGAGACGGCCCCTTCTAGCACGCTGCCAATGCACACTAGCAGCTCTGGCCACAAAGACTGGCCCGCCATCTGAGCGACAACCGCTGAAGCAGCCTTCGGTTAGCAAGGACTTGGACGGGACCACCAAGCTTCGCCACGCTGCCACCCGTTGCCGACGCGTTGCCGCCCACCGCGCTTGGGGGGGTCCGCCGAGGCCTCGCCACGCTGCGGCCCGTTGCTGCGACTGTGGGGGTATGCCGAGGATTCGCCACGTTGCCGCCCGTTGCCGCCTCATTCTCGCGTCGGTGCCGCCTCGTGCGCAGTGCGGGTATGCCGAGCATTAGCCACGCTGCCGCCCGTTCACGCCCGTTGTATCCTGCCGGGATATGCCGAAGACTCGCCAAAACGCCGCCCGTTGCCGCCCGTTGCTGCGCCGTTGCCGCGTCATTGCCGCGTCGTTGCCGCCTCGTGCGCTGTGTGGGTATGCGACGGAAGTCGCCACGTTGACGCCCGTGGCCACCTGTTGCCGCCTCACCACATAGCTTGCACCACATAGGTTGCACCACGTAGCTCCGTAGCCATTTTGGCTCAAGCCCTCCTTGGACCCCGGTTGGGGTCCAAAGGGGGTGAGATCGCTGTTGCCATCATGGCTCGGTGGCGCCGCCCGCGTGGGTTCTCCTTCGGGGCGCGGGGCGGCGGTGGGGCCGCGGGGCGCGGCGCGGGGGGGTGATCCTCCACCCCCCTAGCCTCCATGGGCCGCCCTGCGGGTAACCAGGTAGCGGCCGGGCTGGGGCCAGGCGGCGAGCAGGCGGTTGTCCTCGTGGAGGCGGCTGTGCGCGCGGCGGCGGTGGCAGGCGCCACTCCGCAGGTCGCACCTGCGGTCGCGGGTGCAGCGTTGGGGGCAGCGCTCGGCAAGGCGGGCGCCGTGGGGATGGCAGCCCAGGTGTCCGACGCCCCGCCCGGCGTCGTTGGCGGCGGCCCGGGGCGCGTTGGGGGGCGGCGGCCTGGAGGCATGGCCGGAGCCAGCGGCGGAGGGCGGACGCGGCCTGCACGGCGCCGGCGGCGGCGGCTCGGCAGCTCGAGAGGGCGTCGAGTGTCTCCACGTCGGCGGGTGCGAGGCCGAAGCGGAGTGCGAGGGTGTCTCGCTGCCCGCGACCTCGCCTTCCCCCACGGTGGTGGCCGAGGCCACGCTGGGGGGGGGCATGGGAGCGGTCGGGAGCGAGGAGGCCGAGGCCGAGGGCGGCGACGTAGTGATCAAGGCCCTGGCGATCGGGACGGAGCTCGCAGTCGCCCTGGAGGCGCCCGAGGAGCTTGTCCCCGCCTTGGAGGTCCCTCTCCGAGCGCGACGAGCAGGAGCTGGAGCAGGAGGTCGAGACCGAGGTCGTCGGCGACGCTCAGGCTGTCGTGGCGGGGTGGCCGCAGTGCGTGGAGCCGCAGGGCCGCGAGGTGGGGAAAGTGGACTTGACGCTGCTGGAGGGCGGGGCCGAGAAGGGCGCCCAGGACAGCGGCGCAGCCGGCGGCGAGGACGACTGCACCTTTCCCGAGGTGGCGCCCTTTCCGAAGCTGGAAGACATGCAATGCCACCACATCGGCGAATGCGAGGCCGACGCGAGCCGCGAGGACGGGACGCTGTTCGCGACCCCGCCCTTCCCCACGATGGGGGCCGAGCAGAGCGTGCACGTGCACTGATAGGTGCAGGCGGGCCTCGGCAGCACCGACGACGGCGACGGCCACGAGTTGACCTAGCCGGGCGAGCAAGTGAGCCTCGAGCCCGGCTTCGTGGGAGGCCGTGGCGAGTTCGTGATCGACGACGGTGAGAGGCAGCAAGGGACGGACGAGTCCATCGTGAAGTGCCGTGTGGAAGGCGGCTGCGAGTTGCCGAATACGCATGGCGTGCTGGCGGACCTCGGGAATACCGACGAGGAGAAGGCCGTGCGGTCGCGCTGGGCCGACTCCATCGACGACGTCGTGCACCTGGTCGTGGAGGCCGCCGAGGTGCCGCAGGTGGCAGAGGAGTGCAAAAACGACAAGTGGGAGGCCGTCTTCGCGGCCAATCGTGAAGCGCACACGCGGGCGGCAGAGGCGCAGGCGTGCACCGTGGCCCAGAAGGGGCTCGTGCACGACCGAGTCGTCGAGGCGCCGCGGGGAGGGGCCGCGGGTATACCGAGGGCATCGAGGCCGTGCCCCCTGGGGCCGATTTGGGGCTCAGCGAGCCTGAGGGCATGGGCAAGCGCCGACAAGAGGGGGAAGAGCGGGCGATGCGCAGGGACGGTGTGGGCGCCGTGCCGCGCTGGCGGACATTCGAAGCAGTGCTGGGTAAAGGTTGGCCCCCTAGGGGTTGAGCCGCGACAGGGAGGCCCGAGCATGCACCGGTGAACTGGCGCCTGCTGTTGTTTCTGCGTGTCTCGTTTGGCAATCGCGTGTCTATTATCGAATTAGTAATCCGTGCGCTGCGCGCCCTGGCACTCGAAGTAGTGTTGGGGGAAGGTTGGCCCTCTTGGGGTGGCCGAGTGGGCTCCCGCGGGAGCCTACGAACCGCGCGCCCCCTCGTATTGAGGTGGGGTGTGTGGTCAGCGTGTCAGAACAACTTACATCACATCACATAGTTGGCAACAAGTACGTTGCACCACACAGCTTGCAACGCATACGTTGCACCACATAGCTTACACCACACGCCGTGCACGACATAGATTACGCCGTATACAATACGGCTTACACACGTAAGTTGTTGTTTAAATTCTGCGTGTCGAACATTCGCCCAAAGGTGTCGAAAGGGGGGGTCTGAGTCCAGGGCAGCGCGTGGTCGATCTGTTGTTACCAGTCGCGCAAGCAGACTGGGGGCGGGGGTCTTGACCAGTCGACACAAACCAGCCACCAGAAGCAACCAACATATGGTCGACGGAAGGGGCAGAGGAGGGACGCCGTCCGCGCTGCAATCGTTTATTGAGTGGGGCCCGCGTTGGCTAACATGTTGCTGTAAGAAATCCAGGGGCACGTCGATCGCGGATCCCTGGGCTTCCTCGGGTGATGGCTTCTGTGGCTCCTGGGGGCCATCATGAGATGATAGTGTGCCGTGAAGCATCTTTTGGCGGGCTGGTTTCTATGTGGTGCACCTGCTGCGTCCAGGAGCGCACACAAGGAAACTGGAAAAAGTGGAAGTTGGAAAGCGAGCGAAAGTGGAAGTGGCCAGGGCTGTAAACACTGGCAGTGGCGAAACGAGCCTGAGACAATGGGGACGCGAAACGAGCCAGGGCTGGAAACATAGCAAGAAAGGCTGTCGAGGGTGACAGGGCTGGCCCCGGTCGCTTCTGCCAGCTTCCATGCGCTGTCTTTATCATAAACCTGGCGCGGCGCGTGTCTCGCGAAGCTGCAACCGCGCCTGGCCCCGCGCGCGGCCCCCAAAAAACATGTCTGCAGCACGCGCACACACACACACACACACACACACACACACACGCACACACACACACACACACACACGGGGCCTTCCGACCGCGCGATCCTCGCAGCGAAGGTCGGAGCACGCGGCGAGCCGAGACCACGAGGGCTCCACGAGGCTTCCCCGTAGAGTGCACCCTCGAGAGATCATCAGTCGCGAACCAGTGGCCCACTCAGGACTCAGGAGAGACAAACGTACCACTACCACCAGCTATTGTGGGCACGCGTTGTTGTATCCTTCTTTGCAGAAGAATGGGAGCGACACGATTTATACAAAAGCTTCGCGGGGGGGCGGGTAGGACGCGAGTAGACCACGCGCTCGCGGCGACGCTCGAGGGCGCTCGGAGCCCGCGCGCCGCCGCTCGAGGGCGCCTGGCGCGCGCGCTCCCTCCCCTCGAGCTGGTGGCACCGCCTTCCGCGAGCACCCTGGAGGCATGCCCAGAAGGAGGTGCCACCGGCTCGAGAGGGTGGGGCAGCCACCCCCCCAGCTGGTGGCAGTGGTACGTTTGTCCCTGGTGCACGGGCCTCCGAGCTTTGTCGGCTCAGAGTAGGGTCGCAATTGCCCGTAGGCCTCATGAGCTCGAAGCCCGAAACCCTCCCCAGGGTCCAAACGCACCAGTCTTCCGTGCGGCGTCCAGCCGTGGCTGCGAGGGGGCCCCGCGAAGGCCAACTAAGCCGTTGTCTCGACTCGCCCTACTCTCAGAAGAAAATACTGGGCCTCCCAAGTGGGGTCCAAGAAGATGGGATCGAAGGACCGCGGCGCATCGACGCGAGGGCGTCAGCGATGCATCGCCCGTCGGCGCGAAGCAAACCGGACTTCACATGGAGCCGCATCGCCCATGCATCGGCGATGCGGCGCGGTCCTCCGACCCCATCTCCTCCTCCTCCTCCTCCTCCTCCTCCTCCTGCGCCTGTACTGACCTGGGTCAATCCAAACCTGGGTCAGTCAGGCTTCGCAGGATCCTGCAAGATCCTGCAGGATCCTGCAGGACCCTGCACGCTAACCCGGGTCAATGCACCCGGGCTCTGCAGGATCCTGCAAGATCCCGCGCTCTGGCTTCCCCCCGTCCCGTTTGCATGCACCCCCGTCTCTTTAGCCCCGATCTTAGCAAGAGCACGCGGCCCATCCCTGTCTCTTTCGCCCCCATCCCTGGCGCGCGGAGCGCGCCAGGCGCGGCGACGGCGGCGCCGCCAGTGGAAGCCCAGCGCGGATCCAAGAAATCCGCGCGGAGCGCCAAAAGTTTATGTTTGTGGGGTTTTCCTTTCGTCATGATCTGGGAGGCCCTTGCCGAGGAAGACCGCAGGCATCACGGAGAGACCACGACGTCGAAGGGCCAGGCAGCCGACGGGGGCGAGAAGCACTGCCCCCCGACATGCCCGCGGCGGCCGCGCGACGGCAGGCGGCCTCGGAGGGCCCCCGCGCCGCGGCGGCGGGCAGCTCGAGGAGCCGGGCCAGGAGCGCCGCGAAGTCGAAGCGCGCGCGGTCGTAGCGAACCTCTGCAGGGAGGGAGGCCGACCACGGCGGCGGCGGCGGCGACGACAGCGAGGACGACGACAACGACGACGACGACGACGACGACGACGACGGCGACGACGACGACAACGACGTCGACGAAGGCGACGACGGCGGCGGCGACGACGACGACGACGGCGGCGACAACAGCGGCGGCGACGACGGCAACGACGACGACGACGGCGACGACGACGGCGACGACGACGGCGGCGGTGGCGACGACGACAGCGGCGGCGACGACGGCGGCGGCAAGACGAGTCCAGCTTCGAGCTCGTGCCATCGGCGGCGTCGGCGTTCGTGCCGCCGTCGGCGGCTCCCGGCGGCGGCACGAACGCCCACGCTGCCGAAAGGGACCCTGCCCACCCATGAAGCCCAAGGGTGGAGGACGCTGCGTCGACGGCTGGTCGACAGCGCGGATCCAAGAAATCCGCGCGGAGCGCCAAAAGTTGATGTGTATGCAGTTGTGTTTCTTCGTCTGATTACTATAAAAATTATTATGATGAGTAATATTATTATTCGTATTATTCACCATATTTGTATTATTCTTATTAGTGTCAATCTTCTTATTAATTTTGAATACTATTTCAAACTAGTATCATGATTCGTATTTCCATTACGATTAGCATTATCATTCGTATTAATATGATTATTGTTGCTGATAGTCTGCTCAGTATTGATATTATTGTTTTTTCGAGCGGGGGCACTGCATCATCCAGGGGCTCCGATCGCTCATGTCTTTGAAGAGGCTCCCCGGCGAAGGCGTGCTATGCCCGCCCCTGGGCTGTCCTGGGAACAAGGTCTGGCGACACCGACGCCATCATGGCGACGAGATGCGAGGAGCAAGGGGGTGGTCTCCCTGGTGGTGTGGTCCCCGCCTCTCGCTCGAGACATCCCCGGCCTCCAGCTCAGGGAGGCATCCTGAACCTCCTCGCTGGAGAAGGCCCCCCCCCTGGTGGTGGTGTCGCACCTCCTCCCTCCGATGTCCAACGCCTCTCGCCACCGCTGACCACTCCCCCGCGCAGCGCACTTCTCCCGCCCCCGGCGGGGCGAGAGCCACGGCTTCTGGCCGGGAGCCTGCCGGGCGGAGAGGGGCGCGAGCTCTTCGCCGGGGGCGAGGCGGGGGGGGCGGAGGAGGAGGGAACAACATGAGGAGGAGGAGGAGGAGGAGGAGGGAACCAGGAGAAGTGAGTGAGTGACGACGTTCGCGAAGCGAGTTCGGTGACTGACGGACCCCGACGGCTAGCCATCTCCCAGCAGCTATGTTGGCGAGGTATTCAGCACGACTGGCATTCGCGGCCTCAAGGTATATGCGCCCGAGACCTCTCAAGCACTGGCTAGCGTAGCATCCACACTGAGCACAAAACCACAATTTAAGCCCCTTATGTAATCGCATCCGATGACTGCTATGCACCTCCCCTCCCGCTATATGCAGTGATTGATGTCCCTTCTGGAAGTCCGAAAAAAAGCCCCATCTAGATCTTGGAGCTCAACACAAGGACGTTCAGGCCAAGCTGCACGAGCTGCAATGGGGGTGGAACTGAAGCAGTTCAGACATCTACGACCACAACCAGCTAAAATGTGGGACGTTGTGAAAACACGCACGGCTGTGGGAGCTGGTGGGAGCTAATGCCGCTCGGCTTTCTTCCTGGGGGGGCACTTCCTTCCAGCTCCTTCTCACACTCCAACGCATGAAGTCGCCCAAAGAAGGCGAAGTCGGAGGAGAAGGAGGAGGAGGAGGAGGAGGAGGAGGAGAGGGAGGAGGAGGAGGAGGAGGAGCAGGAGAGGGAGGAGGAAGAGGAGGAGGAGGAGGAGGAGGAGGAGGAGGAGGAAGAGAGAGAGGAGGAAAAGGAGGAGGAAACGGAGGAGGAGGAGAAGGAGGAGGGAAGAAGGAAGAGGAGGAGGAGGAGGAGGAGGAGGAGGAGGAGGACGAGGAGGAGGAGGAGGAGGAGGAGGAGAAGGAGGAGGAGGAGGGAAGGAGGAGGGAAGGAGGAGAAGGAGGAGGAGGAGGAGGAGGAGGGATACCAGAGTGAACCGAGGAAGCGTTAACGATGCTGCCACACACCCTCCCGTCCCAAGTCCCCTCCCCATGCCCACAGATGCCTTCGTCTTTTCACTACACGTAGCGCCCCCTGACGACGAGCAACCTATGTGCTTGGCATCAGGGAGCGAGCCCAGCTTTGAAAAGAAGGTGTCTGGCATTCTTCCAGCGAGAGACGAGACATGCGAAGAGCCGTGGTGATCAAGTTAAGTTGTGTGCCCAGCGAAGGCCCCGTGTGTAAAAAGAGCAGCCCACACCCTCGCAGCCGAAGCACGATTCTCCACCTCTTGAGGCTACACCTGTGGAGGTCAAACGCGGAAGACCCGATCTGAAAATAGAGCGCCACACGAATGTGCTCCTGCCACATCAGCCCAAACTTCTGGCGAGGGGGAGCCTCCAGCGAGGTTCCGAGAAAAAAGCCGCCCTCCGCATGCGTAACATGCTGCAGCGACTGTGCGCGGCACTGAGGCGAGATCCGCACGCTGAGACACCCGGAGCGCCCTCCGTCCTCGTGACTGCCACGAGCCGCTAAGACGGATCTGCCGCAGCGCTGAGGCGATACCGGAACTTGAAGTCAGCCGCCCACCGCCCGGGGAGCCGTGGTGAGACCTCGAAACGAATGTGCGCAGCGGTACGACGGGCGCCCCACACTGAAAGCCACCACCCCTTTGGTCACGCGGCTGGGGCAGCCTTCTGCGACGACGGTGCGCGACGCTTCGGCGAGAGCGCGATTTTCAAAACCACCCCCCTTCCATACCTGAAACTTTCAAGAGTGCTATGTTTGATTGCAACCACCCACTTCTAATTAAAACCACCCCCCCTTCTCATACTTGAAACTTCTGCAGGCCTCTAAGAGGAATGTGAGCGGCCCCTTGATGCGAAAGCCCTTCGCTTGAGAAGCAACCGCCCTCCTCTCCTTGCACATTGGCGCAAGTGATGGAAACGCATGTTCGCGGCGCCAGAGCGAGATCCCCATTCTGAAAAGCCCCCTCCCATTCCACCTGCCGGTTGCAACGTTCAAGCTGCATGACCATACGTGGTGAGGAAGTCTCGGGCGAACAGCCTGGCCCGCCTTACCGACACGTATGGGTGTACGGCAGCGAAGAGTTATCTACAAGAAAAAGGGGTGAGGGACAGAGAGGAGCAATGGAGGAGACGGAAGAGTGGGAAAGACAGGGTAAGCGAGATCGCGCCATACCTGACGTCCCACCACTCCTCCCATCTCTGTTTGCACAAGCAAATGTCGAAAAGGACAGTGACCCCCAAAGGGTGCGCGATGCGAAGCACAACACGGCATGTCGTGGGAAAGCACGGCAGAACGCGACATGGCGTAGGATTGAGTGACATATCAGAGTCAACCATTGCATCTCATTGCATTGCAGCTTAAGGCATGGCATGGCATCACGGAAATAAACATGTCAGCGCATGGCATGCAATCACATGGCACGGGGCAACATAGCATGGTATTGCACTGCGTAGCCCAGCATTGCACATCACAACATTGCAGGGCAAGGCATTGAATGACAGAATCGCAACACATAACATAGCACTGAATGACATATCATGGCTGCCTGAATTATGCAGCCAGAAAACCATACTGGATGGTCAACAAGTTGGAGATGAGGCTGGTGCTGAAGCGGGAGCCACATTCTGAAGGACCGAGAACGCGGAAACGCGGAAACGAGACCACCGCTGCGGTGGGAGCACGACGTTGAAATAAACGAAATGCGGGAACGAGGCTAGCGCTACAGCGGAAGCACATTTTTTTGAAGGATCAAAAACGATCGTATAGGAACAACACGCCGAAAAACATGCTTTTGTACTCCCGTGCGTGGAAGCAGTACGCGGAGAGTCAGGGACACCTTCTGGACAGAGTTAGAGGACCGAGCAGAGTCATACTCATAACGCGTACGTGTGGATGGGGGGCGAGGAAGAGGGGGAAGAGAGCACGGCCAGGATCACCGGGAGGCGAAGGAGGAGGCGCGGGTGAAGGTGGGAGCCCAGAGTCGGCCCAGGACCCGGGATGCACACCCTCCCGTCCCAAAGGCCCGTCCTCAGGAGTCACCGCCGGCGCCTCTGCCCACTCAGGGAGAGCCGCCCGGCTTGGAGGACGAGCCGTCCTGTGAGGATGTCCTTCGGGGGAGAGCCCCGCCTTGAAAGGGGAATCCTCCTTCTCCTCCACCACCTCCTCCTCCTCCTCGTCCTCCTCGTCCTCCTCGCCCTCCTCCTCCTCCTCCTCCTCCCAAGAACCGTTCTGGCACAATCGCGCCCGCGGGCGCCCTTGGGCCAGGCTCCGCACCTCTCCGTGGTGTCTTGACTACGGGTTGTTGTCGCCGCGCCCAGGGCGTTGCGACCAGCCCCGACCAAGTCGGAGCCAAACTTCGGGATGGGCCCGCGCCGTCCTCGCTCGGCGGCGCCGCGGCCCGCGGCTGGGGCAGCGCTCGTGGTGCCGTTCCTGGATGACTGGACGCGATGCTCGGGATGCTCAGCGTGGCGCTGGAACAAGAGCTGGTGTCAGGAGCTCTGGCAGTGCAGCTGCGGGAAGGCCGTCGAGCCGTTCCGTCGGCACCCGCGGCGCCAGGCCTCCGCGGCAGCCCCAGCCAGCCTGGGCCGCGCGGGCTCCCTCGCCCAGTGTCCATGGCGGCGGCAGGGGCTTGCTGATGGCGAGGCGAGCTCCACGGGCGGCACGAGCAGGACCTCGGACCTGTCCTCCGTCCTCTCGCAGCTGGCAATCTCCAAGAGCCAGGAGCCCCAGACGGCTGCCGCCATCGAGCTGGTTCGGAAGCTAGTGGAGCCGCCCCCGCCTGCCGTGGAGGCCAAGCCGCCCGACGAGGTCTTCCGTAAGGCGGCAGGGCTCCACAAGGAGGCGGCCAGGAAGCACCAGGGCGCAGTATATGCAGTGATCAGGCTGGAGGACCAGCTCGCAGCAGCGCGTGAGAAGGAGAACACGTTGGCCGTGGCGCTGGCGGAAGCGGAGCACTCCAAGCGGGTAGCCGCTGCTGCAGTGGCACGCCAGGCCGCCGAAGCCGAGCGGCAGCATGACCTCAGCGAGGACATCTTCCAGCTCACGTGGGACCCAGGTGTCTTCACGAACGTGAGCGACCTCTCTCTTTCCGAGCGTGAGGAGTTGAAGCAGCTGGAGTCCTCGCTCAACGCCGTCAAGGCAGACCT